TCCCGTAGCTGCTTTCTTGTTAATGGCTTTTATGGCCGCTTCGATCTCCCCAGTATGTGGCGGTTGGTCCAGATATGCTGTCGCTTCTCTCTTTGCTGGTATGTATGAGTCTTCTGCCTTGCTCCACCTCTCATACAGCATTGCTCGTAGTAGTGTCCTAGCTTGCTCTGGCTCTATATCATTACCTGTTTCATCGATCAATGTCAGGCCTTCTTCACCTTTGAGTTTACGGTATTGCTCCCATAACCTTTGATTCGCATTTTGCTGCCTAGGTAGTAGTGGTTTCTGTTTTCGGAAGTGGAGTCTCAGCCGTTCCCTGAATCTCATCCAAGCCTGAGTGGTTTGCTCTCTACTGTCCCTGACCGAGTGTATGTTCCTTGGTCGCCCTTGGTTGTAGTCAATGGTATGTAAAGTCCATTTGTAGGTGAGTACGGCGTGGTCAGCTGGTGCGTTCTCCCAGTCCAGTATCACCTTGTCGTCTCCTCCGGCAGTTGTGTTAATCAATATGCGGTCGAGGGTACGGCTAGGCTTCTGATCCTTGGATCGTTTAGAGATCCAGGTAGGTGCAGTTGGTAGTATATTAAGACCGTGCTGGTCAGTAAGTCTTTGCAGTCTGATATAGTTCGGTATGCCGGTTATTGTTCTGAGCTGGGTTGGTTCATGCCCAGAGTTCAGGTCACCTGCTATGAGTAGAGGCTTGTCGGTCGGAATCAATTTGGCTAAGTATTCCCAGTATTTTGCCTTTTGCTTGTCGGCGGTCTGCTCTGTAGGTCCATAGGTACCAATACAGGTCACCAAATTATCCAATTGCAGCACAATAATTCGTGTGGTCTTGCTACTTATGCTATATTGCACATCTTGCCTGATCATGGCTGCTACTCCATCTGATGGTCCTGCAGCTCCTATGACCGTGTATTGGTTGTTGTAGATGGTCCGATGAAGGTCGGTGCATGTTTCAGAGAGGATGACTATGTGCGGTCTTGTATTCAGTACGATGTTCCTGAGTTGTAGTTCTTTCTTGTTGCTATAGCCGTCAACGTTTATAGCCATCACATTGTAGTGCTTTGGCCTATTCCTGTCTCTCAGCAGCGGGGAGTCTTTGTCAGCTAGATGGGTAAGAAGGGGTTGCTCGCCTCGGTGGCAGTCGTTGGTGGCGAGGTGGCTGTGTTGAGCTTGTGGTAGAGCATTGTCTTGTTGAGGTCGTCTGGCAGTAGATCTATCAGTTTCCTGATGGTCTGCTCCAGGTAGTGTCTGGCCGTCCAATGTCTTTCGTACTGCAGGTCCTGTAGTCTTATATTGATTGCTGTGGTTAGCGCCGCCTGAGACAGGGGTCCTGGTTGGCCGTCTCTCCTCTTCGTGGGGTCTAATAGTTGGGCTTCTCTGTTCATAGCATGTGTTAGCGCTCTCATCTTGGATAGTTCCTCGGTTCTGATTAAAATCTCCACCGAGGTTCTCCACGGGAACCAAATGGCCACGGGGTGTATCTCGTGTTTCTTCAGCAGGTTCCTCCATTCTTTCGCTGGAAACATCTGTCGCGGCTTGACCTTGTTCAGTGTAACCGCAGTCACCTCGACAGTTTGCGGTGGTTTCGGCTCCCATAGGGCTTTCATGTCCTGGTCGTCCAGAGTGATACTGGGTGTGGTGGTCTCCTCCGGTAGTGGTGGGTGCTCGCTGATCACCACTTGGTCCTTTCTTCTTCCCACTCTCATTGGTGGGTTCGTTGTCCCCGCCACCTTGTTCCAGGGTAGCGGGGTTCTGGAGTTTAAAGTTGGTCGGCTCTTAGTGGAGGTGGTACGGCCCCGTCTGGTAGTGGTGGCTTCCGACATGTCTCTATCTGGACCATGGGAGGAGTCGGTAGCTCGCGGTCGGCTGGTTTTCGCCTTAGTGGTTGGCTTGGTGGTTTCGTCGTGGGATGGGTAGCGCTGCGTTGCAGTCAGTAGCTTGTTCGAGATCTCGTTCATCATCTTGTTGATCTGCTCAGTCTGCCTGTCCGAGATCTCGTTCATCATCTTGGTGATCTGCGCGGTTTGCTTCTTGTGGTGTTCCTTGGTTAAAGTGGTC